AAAAAAAAAAAAGAGAAAAAAATAACGAAAAAAAAAACAAAAAAAGAAAAAACGAAAGAAAAAAACAAACGGAAAAAAAACACACGACTGTACTGCGAGGATCAGTGTCCTCGGTAGGCCCCCTGTCTGCAGCCTTACCCGCCCTAAGTGAAGGCGGAGGTGCCCGCCCTAAGTGAAGGCGGGCCTGGCTTTTTGCAAGAGGCCCTCGACTGTCAATTTCATATTTGGGGTCCAGGCAGTTGCGACGCGCCAGTGGGTTGAAAGAAACATGGGCCGAGTACCGAAGACATTTCCACGGCCTACCGGGCCTTTCCAAAGAATGCAGGCCCTGGGCGTGATTCGCAGCCTCATACAGAGATAGTTGGGCGCCCAACCGAACGAGGCCCAGCAGCCCAGTACCTGTTGCATCCAGACACCATCCTGGGGCCTTCCGGAAGCTGCTAGGCCCAGGCCAGCCCAGCCAGGCTGCGAGAGCTGGCCAACTCTTTTCCATAAAGGAAACAGCTCTGGCCAGGCAGCCTCATTCAGGCACTCGCATGCTGGCGGCAGCGCTGCTAGAGCAGATGCTCGTGGGCTGCTGCTAGCACTGGGAGGCGAGGTGCAGCACGTGCGGTCGTGCAGAGGAGGAGGGCGCTGCTAAGGGCAGCGCCATAGCCCAGCCACCATAGCTGGTGGGTTTGGACTACAATGAAGCACAGGGGTGGTCTTCGGGTGACAGAGAGGACAGGTGTGGGTGACGTCAGGGGATAGGTGAAGGATGATGATGATGATGATGATGTGAGGGCACGAGAGAAGATTGAGGAGAGAGGCTAGAGAGAGGGCAGCGGCAAGGAGAGCGAGGGCAGCTGAGGACAGTGCTAGAGCTAGAATTACAGCTAGCATCAGTACAGCCATGGCTACCTCATCTATGACGCAACCCTCTACACAGCCCACTTCGTCAGGAGTCAGTCAGAGCGGTACTCAGGCGGCCACTAGTCAGATTGGTCATGTGCGAGTCAGCCAATCTCCTATCGCACCAGAGGACTTGGAAATCCGGCAAGCAGAAGAACTTCAAGATGAGCTACAGCGGCAGATGGATGAAGTAACAGAGAGGAGAAGGAAAGCTATGCAAAGAAAAGCTAGACTAGAGAGTAGATTGCAGGAGTTAGTCAGACTGGAAAGGCTAGATGAGGGAACATTAGACCCTGTTGTTCGTGTGCTGCGAGGCGCCTTACTTTCAGTGGCGGAAGCGCAAAGCGTTCAACAGGAATTGTTGGCTGATTTGGTAGCAGTCCACAAACAAATTCTGGCTGAACTTAGGGTCATTCGCCCGACGGCGAGGCCGCCACAATTTGTTGTAGTTCCGCCTGTAGGTGCGGGTCCATCATCGATGCCGCAGCGCACAGGGCAAACTTTCTCTCCCATGTTTGGCACGCCCTCCCCGGGTGGTTTAGGTGCAACTAGTGGTCCGGTTCATTCAGTCTCAGCTGTACCGTCTACAACAGTGGTCACTACAGTCCCACTGTTCAACCAGGCCCAGGTTAGTGTGCAACAGCCGGTTTCAGTGGCTATGCAGCCGCTGCGTCAAGCACCTGGGCCCATGCAGCCGATGCAGTGGATGCCCAAGATACCTCTGATGAGTCCCAAGCCTTTCTCTGGAGACAAGAAGAGGGAGGAAGACTTGGACACCTGGGTGAGGACTGTGCCTACTTATGTGAGGCACAAACTCACAAGGCCAGAACAAAAAGTGGTAGTGGCTGCCTCCTTTTTAGAAGGATCAGCAGCCCGCTGGTTGAATGGCTTGGTGCAGCAACAGGGCTACGGTCAGGATTTCGATGCC